GGTTTGAAATCGGTAATTGAAAAAATCAAAATCAAATCGGATCAAAATTTAAAAAAATCATTTGATGTATATTAAGAGCGATTTTAATTTTTGATCATACGTAACAAAAATCATATTCGGATTATTATTTTTGAACAAAGTTTTTACAATTAACAACAATAACAATAATTCTTGAGTAATAATTTTATAAATGATAAATATATATATTTTTTTTTTTTGTAATGTCTATGAGTCTGGAGTAGTAGAATATTTTTTGTATAGAATGGAGAATATTGTCAATTATTAGCAACCGAACATCTTCATTTCCGAAATTTATTATAAATTTTGCCTTAGAAAAATTTAATTTGTGTGATTTTTATTTTCCGATCAAAATTATTTTTGATCTCAATTTAATCATTATTATTTATATAGAACCGTATCAATCAGTGAGTGATTATTATTTTTAATCTAATCAATAAATATCAAACATCGATCGAAATATTTATTTATAAATCAGGCATGATTTCTAAATTAAAAATCAAATTTAATGATTATTAAATGATTTTGTGTAAACAAATAATTATCGATTTTAAACCTTGTTAGAAACAACATTTATTCGGCTTAAACTAAAATAGTTAAACTAGATATCGGTAAAATAATTATTTATTTAAATACCCTAGAAAGTTCTATGCAGCCGCAAAAGGCTGTTGGGCCAGATGATAGGAGCAGCTGAGAAAATGGGTCAAAGCGTGTACTATGGGATACAGCTGCATGTACCCGACCGACGTCGTCACAATAATCTCACCTCAAATTTATTTACAAACTCCAACACCACGTACCAAGTTCTATTGTTCCCTAAATACAATATAACGGAAATATATGTTTATGTTAGCTATAAGTTTCTATACCTACAGTACCGGATTTGGTAAAAATGCTTAATAGAAACTACAAATTAATGAAATGAAGAAAAACTGACTTGAAAGAAAGCTTAGGCATTATTTAACAATTTTTTTTTTTTACTCCCGTATACTTTATAATTTTAATTCTTTATTTTATTTATTTATTCTGGGACGAGTCCCTTCAGAGTAATGCATAAGATCAGAAATGTGGGCTAAGGAGCCACAGAAATACATAAACAAAAATACTAAGTAATTAAAAAGTCATAATAAAAAATTGAAAGTAAAGTAAAAATAATGAAGAAAGAACTAATAATTTATATATTTACAGTGGTATCTATTTACAATTTCATAGGGACTGGATGGATAAGAAATGATTGAATAGGCGGTATTTAAAGGTAGGAAGGATATTGGATTGACGAATGTGGGAAGGGATGGAGTTCCATAGGGATGAGGATCGGATAATGAACGATCTGTGGAAAGCAGCAGTTCGGTGGGCCCTCATATATGAATCAGAAGACCTGGAACGAGTATTGAGGGAACGAACAGAGCATTTGAATTGGAGGAGCTCGGAGATGTATGAAGGTCGGTGGGATTGGATGACTTGAAAGAGGAAGAATGCCAGGAAATACTTACGACGGTAGGAAGGATAAAGCCACTTCAACTCTAAATAAAAAGAGGCGTCCCTTGGGATTCCGAAGATGAATCCTACAAAGCAATTTATCGTACGTTTTAGTTTCGCCTCGAGATCTCCAGAGACGCACCCATATACCGTACAGCAATAGTCCAAGTGATGAAAAATTAAGGAAGTGACCTCGGGAACAATATCAAGACGGGTTTCAAGTGGAAGTAGGTGACGGAAGTAGTTTCGACGTTTTAAGGTTGAAATGGTACGGCGGGAGATGTTGGATACTGTGGAAACGACGAATCTTATGACTGGCATTCGACGACTAATTTCTTTCAGCAATTACAGAATAATAATAACCAAAATAGAAGATGTTAAAAACTTGTAACGAGAAATTTAAAAGAGCTTTTTAAGGATTTCGCTGTGCAGGTCAAATCATTAACGTCAGTCTAAATCTTCGTGAATAATGCCTGCAGCTTATCGTAATCAACATTTTTATTTACGAACATTCTCGGAAATGGGACATTTTCAAACTTTGTCTATTTAATGAGGCACTAAAAATTCATCAATACCTGTTTGCTTTCCACTTGAAACGTAAGACGATCTGATCACAAAATCGAGAAAAATGTTCGGCTGTTTAGCGTTACAACACAAATGATGAATTTTAGAACTCGGTTGTCAACAGATCCCATGTCCAAGATGGTCGATACAAATGGACAAACAGCCTACTGGGCACAGTCAAATCGACATGAGTCGGTTGATGCTTTTCGTGGAGGCCTGGGATGTACCTCTGTGAGCGTTAACGAGATTTCGGTACGGAACGACGACCACAGATAAAAAGAAAAAGACAGGGAGGGGGGATGGGGTATAATGAAGGCGGTGGCCTGTAGACGTGATATTTCCGACCAATCCGATACCCTGTCCTTCGGGCTCATCCGTCCGTGTCACTATTTTCATCTCCCATCATCTCCGGATAGCCCGCCTCTAACATTCATCCACCTCATCCCTCTACCCAATATTTCTAAAACCTGCGTAGAAAATAAGCGGACTATTTTAATTTTTAATCTATTTAAAATAACTTTGGGATTACGAATAATACAAAGTACCGTCTTGAAAAAAATAATTCAGAGTCTTTAAGATAAATAGACACTTAAAGAGAATAGTCCGTGGTATAGCCCCTTTTTATCAAATTAATAACATCCGCAGTTATTGCTTTGCTTTGCTTCAATTTATCGTAACCTGAAAATTTGTTATTTACGAAAATTTGCCTCAGAAACTAATTAATTTAATGAGGTACTAAAAATTTCTAAATAGCCATTGGCTTTCCACTTGATAAAATTATTCAACAATCCAAGTGGAAAGCTAATGGGCGTTCATATGTTTTTAGCACCTAGCCCATGTCTGGTTGTAAGACGTTCATCAGGCTAATACGCACATAACATTTAGGACGGTCCTCCCTATTGACAAGTTTAATATTTCTACTTCACTTTTAGGATTCATGCCTCTTTCGAATTTAGTGATTATATATTTGTATTGTACCAACGGTTCGAAATCGTTTACTAAAGGGGAGATTAAGTATAATATCCCAATTAAACTGAAGAATGTATGACGAGCGAAAATAAAATTAATAACATGCAAGAAAAAAATAATCTTTTCAATCTTCTAATGTAGATTCCTGTAACATCAATTTATGATTCAAGAATTGAATTATTTAACTAATTCTATATCGAAATAATAAATAAGTATACATTGTATTGGCAGACATCCAACAACTGACCGCAAGTAATTGGTTTTCCTGCTTTGTTTCTTATTAAATTTATTTTGTATATTCCACGATTTCACTTCGAAGATGCCTTAGCATAGATTTGGTATTTATATATATATATATATTTGTTGTAACACCCTTCCACTTCAATTTAATCAAGATGCTTTCTAATTTTCTAAATTCAATCAGTCCCTTCATCCATTAAATTCTTCTCGAAGATCAAGTAAGCAGATAAGTTATGAGCTTAGGCTGCTTATGAGCCCTTATTCCGTTTTCACAATACGGAGTTATTTTGGTTTTTAAAAAAACATGCACTGTAATTAATAGTTACCATTTTTTATTACGATGTATTGGTAAATTGACGTATGATATGTTAAATATAGGTGTTAGCTGTATTGCACCTCTATGGTTTAGTAATCTAGAGTTAATTTACTTTGTATGTGTGTATATATATATATATATATATATATATATATATATATATATATATATATATATAAAGAGGGTGAATTTCCAGTGATACGCCACAATAACCGATTGGTAATTTTTTTTTTTTATAATTTTGTTCCATATGCCTTTTCTTAAGGATATGAGTTGACTTTTTTTTTTATTTTAGTAGTAACAGTTCCTGTGAAACGTTTTAAGAAAACGGTTCTTAAAACAAAACTTCTGACGAACTTAATGTAATCAAGTCCCATGTTTATGGTAAAAATTCAATCTGTATTTATTCAAGTTATTTTAATCAGTTCTATATAATGAAAGATAAATCGTAATTGGTCTTAGATTAGAGTGATGATTAATCAACAGCACTGAGTAAATTATCAGATGCTTACTAAGCTAGCCTGCTAATCTAAACAGAAGGATTGTTCATAAAAACAGAAATTATTAGATATGCACGTTTATATAAAAATGAGAATTATTAATAAATAATTATAATATTAATAAATTATTATATTAAAACTGTAATTTAAAAAAAATATTATAAATCCGAAATCATAATGTATAAATATATGATAGGGAATGATCAATTTTGTATTTACACTATACGTATGCAGTGTATTAGTTCCTACTGGCTAAACTCTGGGAGGTGATTCTAGACAAAATTTCCCCCAAAAAATCATTTGACGTATCGGATTTCGAACGGAAAATGAGTCCAATTTTGTATATGTATATATATTTTTTTAAATGGTCACGTTTTCGCTTTCGTAGAAAAATTTAACACAACAAATATTTAATTCAGGTAATAGTACACTAGACAAAATTTTCTCCATGAGCAAGTAGAGTTTGTCTAAGTCAAAACAATTCAAAGTTGTGTTTCTCATTTTATCATGGATTATTCACCATGTTTTTTTTTTATCATCCTACAGCAATACTAAAGATACCCCACTTTGATAAAAAAAAAAAAAAAACTTCCTGCTTTAATAAGCGTTAACTGTGGATAAGTACCTTAACCCTTTATTGGCAAGTTTTTTTTAAAAATAGATTTAGCTGTATTTTTATTTGATATTTTATAAATATATCATTATTACGATTTTTTTTTAAAGTTAAAAATGCTGTTTTTGACAATAAATAATTAATAATAGAACAATTTGTCAATAAATATCTTATTTAATTGTAAATAATTTTGAATGTTAGAGACAAAAATCTCTTTTAAGTTTAACATTTATTCTATTCTAGTTAACAACGGCATAATTTGTGGAGGGGAAGGGGTTGGCATATTTGGCATCTGCCCCAGATGGCTGGCATATACCTAGGCTGCGCCACTGGCCCAACTGGACAATTGGCAGATACTAGCTGCCAGGAGGGAGGTGACATGCTTGCTGGAGAATTAAATGCCCAGCTGTGGGGAGCAGAGACTGGAGGGAAGGACTGGCCTCCAATCCAAGGTCAGGTCACAACTTGCCAGTCATTAGGTTCATGATAACGGTACACCCACACCCTCCCTCTCTACCAGCGGGTAATCGAACTCTTCGCCAAAACCGTCCGGTAGTGTACATTTAACTTACTTTATAATACGATAAGTAATACCATGTAACTGGAGCTTACTTAACCCGCTCGAGCCTTGAGGATGGCCTACCTCTATGGTTTACCCACAACCTTGGCTAACACTGGCGCAACCGAATCGGTGGCTGTAGAACCCAAATCCCAAAAAGAAAATCACCTTCAAAATATATTTTTTTTTTACATAAATAAATATTATAAGCACATATTTCCGTAACCTACATCCTAAAAAAATCAATATTTGCAAAAGTACTGCCTGAACTTTTTTTATAGTACTACTCTGTAATATATATATATATATATATATATATATATATATATATATATATATATATATATATGTGTGTGTGTATATATATTTTTTTAATTATTAATTTATTTTATTCAGCAAGAAATACCTCCAGAAATAAAGAATATATATATTTTTTTTAATCTTTATTTGTTTTAATGGAAGAACCCTATACAAATAGAATCTATCACAGTATAACGAACATTATTATCATTAATACAAATTCATTCCTTTTTATACTACATTACAGATTACAACACTCTTAAGAATAAATTAATAACCAAACAGTTAAAGTAGTTCCAATTATCAAATTAACATAAAATCTAAAATTGTCAACAATATACATATAATAACGATAAAAACTACGAATGCGTTCAATTTTTTAAATATTGTTATTAAATTATGTTTCAAAATTAAATTAAAAGATTACCCCCATATCTAAGAGAACAACCGAGAAAAAAGACCCGGACAGATTACCAAACCGATTTTTTATAATTTGAGATAAAAAAATATAATTTTGTCATATCTTCTGCAGTGGTTGGCTTAAATATTTATATATATATATATATATATATATATATATATATATTGGTTGATATTTTTTTTACTGTTAATTATGTATCTTTTCTGAGGCTTTTAAGATTTAGTTAATAAATATTTTATTATATATTTTGGTTGATGTATTAATACTTTGTTGTTCTCATACATAAGACCAGTGAAAAAAAAAAAAAATTATAGAAAAATGTTTAAAAGATATTTATTACGAACAGTTATTATAAACTAAATTATGTTATATGAAAACTAGAGTGATAAAAAATTATTATTCAGTTCATTGAACAATAAAATTAACGGTAAACCACACTAAAAAACTAGAATGAAATTTCAAAGATAAAGGATGTATACCACATTAGATTTTTCAATAACCAAGATAGGGATGAAACTTCTGCACCATGTGAAACAAGCGGAAATAAAAAATAAACAGGACATCAGAGGATTGAAGTTTTCTTGAAATTCTCACCACAATACAGACTTGACTACTGAATTAAATAAGGATTTATTTGCTTATAGTCAACTTTTCTTCAATAATTATTTTCTTCTCACATCTTGCCCATAGGTCTAAATTAACAAAATGAATGCTACATTAAGTAATAATTAAATCTATTAAAAGTCATCTATATATTAACATGCCAACAATTTCGGATGCAGATAGTAATAAAAATACTAAAAAAAATAGCTACGGAATAAAATAGTTTTAATTGATTTTCTTCAAACAAAAAAACATACCAGCCAAGACAAATTTTTTGGATCGATCTCAGAACAAGCAACCCAAGACGCAAATAACAAACCTGACGTTGTTGCTATAAATGAAAACGTAAGAAGTGGCTATGTCATCGATATTGATATTCCAAGCGATGATAATATCGATAAGACGGTATCAGGGAAAAAAAAAAACAGGAAATATCAAGAACTGTGCCAGAAGTTTTTTAACTGTGGCAGCTTTATATAAATGATAAAGTCAGGGGTTGGATTAGCGATTATTGAAAAATAACCGGTTATCCGTTACTGAGTCTTTCTTTTACGTTCAGTATAACCAGTCGGTTATTATCCGCTAAAAATAACTAGTTATAGAAACAATCGTTTTTTACTTGTACGTTTATTTTTGTTTTTTTCCGAGGGGCAAAATTTAATAAATAGAGATGGAAAAAAAACTAAATAGCATTTAATATTTGTATTCAGTCATATTTTAATTAATTGTTTATTTTATTCAGCTATACTCTCAAGACCTATGGGTAACGAGAATTCCAGGCTCGAAATTATTGATTTGGCTCTTTAAAAAAAATGATAATAATAAAATAACAGCCATTGTAATACTAAGATCGAGATTTATTTATAAGAAAATTTATAATATTATTATGAAGACGTTAATATTTTTTTCTTTTCCAAGCCGGTTATTTCGGTCCTGATATTTAACAATCAAAAATAACCTGTAACCAGAACAGTAAAATAACCTAAATAAAAATAACAGGTTTAGGACTAAACCATTCAGTTATTGTTATTCCCGTGTAAGGGGCACATCCCATACGATAATTGTTCTTTTGAGGATTTAAAATTGAAAATAAAGGCAGAAGTGCGACAGTTAATTCTGATTGTTACCAATATCGCCCACCAGTTTCTAAACAGTATAAAATTTATTCCTAAAGGCGCATTTTTCTCGAAACGTTTTTAACGGTTATTGCGCAACAATAAATAATCTTGTATAAATAATCACAGACAAAAAGGACACTCAGAAGAAAACGGCACCTATGAAATCTAGTAAACGCTCTACTCCTCAACAGATATAGTCTGAACGTTAACCATGACATTCGCGCCAAGTAAAAACTAGCTTAACCTTTCAATATAAAATAATATAATAAATTATTTTATTTAAATCTATCCGTTTTTTTAAACATATCCGTGGCCGTTCGTTCAGGGGATTTTGAATTCGAGAATTGTCATTCTATAATAAAAAAAATATGCGGTGTGTTATGCTATAAATTAAATATTGTTATTTTGATATTGTTTGTAAGCTTCCAGTTAATTATAAAGCCTCATATATATAACTATAATAAGGTCTATTTAGACTTACGGAGTTGAGCTTTGGAGCTACACTAAACCATCGAATTTCTCTCGTATCCAATTCTTAAAATCCAAAATCCATCATAAAATCCTCAATGCTCCTTACTTTGTCACAAATAAAATAATTCATAAAGACCTCAATGTTCCATACGTCTCCGATACGGCTTAATCTAGATACGTATCCTTCCATAATAAACTTCATAACCGTCCGAATCCTCTCGTTTCTCACCTTGCTTCTTATTCTATCCCCTGATAATCCTCCGAGGCGTTTGAAAAGAACATGGCCTCGTGATCTCCTAATTTAGAAATTTTATCAGGGTGCTACCAATGGGTAGTTTCTCTACAAGTGTTCTCATATCACATTGTATTACTATTTATCATATCTACTAGATCCTCCTGCGGTGTACAGCGGTTTGACGTAATATTAAGATGTAAAATGAGACTCAGAAGTTCTGAGAAGAAACAATTCTTTTAAGCGAGGAAAAATTTGAAATTGCTGCTAGGTCTTTAGGAAAGCCTACCTGTTGGTTTTCACTTTAAAGGTAGGTACGTCAGTGGATGCTGTACCTGGCAAGGCACCTCCACACTACCTGCCTACAATAACGGCCAACACTTGAAACCTAATGCCTTCCCTTCTTCCAAGGCTCCTATACTCTTTCCTTGAAACTTCATGAAGCTCCAACCAAAAGCTTACAGAAGACCTTTTAAAGCGCAAAACAATAAATAACATAAAGCTGTTACCTTAAGAATATTCATTAGTAGAATATCGATATGGTACCTTGTAACCAACAACAATTTTTGGCGTATGATCAAACTTGCAAAAATTTGGATTCGAAAATGCGCCTCAAACTTACAATACGTTAAAAATGGTCAACTATCATGACACTTATGGAGGAACATGAGTATTGTCAGTTTCCAAATTATAAACATAATTTTCTAATATTTTTGTTATCAATTGATAAATATCTAATACGAAGTCGACAATCAATAGATTCAAGAAATAAGAGAATTATAAATTATCTAGCATTTTATATATATATAAATTTTTTTGTAGTTCTTAAGTTCTGCTATCGCCTCTTTAAACATTCTTCTTCTCTATTTACGGAACATTCTGTATATGTATAATTTATGTCATGTACATGTTATATAACATTTTACTTCTAATTTTATAAGAAATGTTTTTTTGTTTGTTTAAGAAAAAATAGTTTTATCATTAACATTAAGGTTATATGTAAATAATAATATTAGGACTAAGCATTATATTTTATTTTGTTGAAGAAAGATCGTTTTGTTTACAGTTATATCAAACACAATAATTTTATTTTCTATATTATATTATATATGGTTTTACTATTAATGTAGTTCATTGTGTATCACATTTATGTCTATTCTTATAAATGCATATTTATAAAACTCAACTCCATTTGTATGGGTTCGCCCGAAAACAAATAAAAAAATTTATTATTATTATTATTATTTCTTATTTTAAATACAAAAACAAAAAGTGGCTAAATTGTACGATAACAAAAAATTAAGGAACTATAGTTATAATTACTTAGACATAATAAAGCAAAAGAGGATAAGGACAGATTGCGTTATTTATCTGTTCTGTAAAGATACACCTAACCTTTTTTTTTTTCTTTAGATCTCGTTCAACCAGCAGTTTTTTTTCTATTAAATATTTAATCAAGAATACCCACTTTATAGAGTTTGGGCGTGCACCAGGATCTACAGACCTCAGGGTCGACCCACGGCCAATGAAACATAATGAAAATTACCTGCCATCAGCCGGATTCGGACTCAGGAAATTGAGCTTAAGATATCAGTGAACTAACCTGCTTCATATGTATATATATATATATATATATATATATATATTTAATCAATTTCATAAAATAACAGATATTTTTAAAACAGCGTCTTATAATAAACAACACTAATTCTTTTAGAAATCTCTCATCGAATAATGTTTTAAAAATTAAAATTCATTAAGTTATTCATCCATCCAGAAATTAAGCAAAATACAACTTTATATGAAATATCGTAAAATCACGAATTCAAAGAATAAAACTGGATGTATAAATGGTTAAACCATAAACTTTCGTTTAAAAAAATAAAATTAAAATAAAAGGAGAGACATTGAGAACTTAAAGTGTTACCCTTAATTCCTGTTTTACAAGAGGCCTTAAAGATATTTATATAAACTCTGAAAACTTGTGTTGCCGAAAAAATTAAGTTATTATTACATTAAAACGTTTTAAATTTTCAGTTGAATATCTTATTTTAAAATAGTCAAAATTTCCAAATAGAGTAGCAAGCAGGTAAAAAAGAAAATGTTCGAAGGGTACCAGAAACCCTCATTAGAGGACAACTTTAAAGCCTAAAGGGACATTGGTGTACCTGCTCTTCAAGTAGTTCCTTCGCTTTAAAATAGATTTTCATAGGGTACAGGCAACACTTAGGCCCGAGTACCTGCCTCAAATAAATAAATAGAGAAAAATGACCGTCTCCTTGACGAGTTAAATACCTTTTTTCAGTCTGCAAGAATTTTTTTTTAGTTTAAAATATTGCACATTGCAATAACATTTATAACATAATAAAACATTCAATAAAAAACACATAACTTGGATTTGCTACTTTTTTGCTGAAAATTGGCCCATTGTTTATATTAGCCATAGGATTTTTTTTTGTATTTCTTAAAGTCTGCCATCACTCCTATCTAAAATTCTTTCTACTTACGCTCTGTATAATAATTATTAAAAAATATATATATATATATATATATATATATTAAAAATCATAGTTTTTGGATATTTAAAACAAAATTTATAATAAATAAAATTTATTTATTCATTAAATTCAGTTTCCGAAAATACTGAAGTATTATGCTAAAAATAAGTTTTCGTTTATTGCAAACCGCGAAAAAAAAAATTAGAAAGAACATTAATTAAATCAGGAAGAATTTAAATCAAATATTCGTGTTAACAAACACTATTGGAGTTCTGGCAATGGCCAGATTCTCCACTCACGACATGAGTGTATGTGGCTTAAGCACTCTTGCTCAATCTCCACTGGGTTTAGCTCCAGTGACGCGGTTGCGAGAGAAGTACTGGGATCTCCTGGAGCCATGCTTTTCCCTCCTCACTTGGAGTGACAAGTCTGGTTTGGAGTTCTCTCACCAAATTGTAAACATTGTATATAGGTATGTATGTGTTCTTTTTATTCATTTATTTTTAGGTTATTTTATTCTTATTTATTGTATATATATTATTTTTCTGTATAATCTATTTTATTTACTGTACATAGAGTGTGAATGTGATCTGTGAACACTATTATAAATGTCCTTGAGACAGATTGTAATATTTTTCAATAAATAAGATTAAAAAAAACAAACACTAATATTAAACAATACAAAAAACTGTGAATCAATAATAATATAATATTTATATACAATACAAAATACATGAACTACACCTAACTAAGAATACTGGAAAATAACATAAGAAATATAAAACGATGTAGAAACATAAAAAAGGTTAATTTGCTAGTTTTCTTTAAACTATTATCTATTATTACTACTCACGTTCTTATTATCTAGATTTGCCATTGTGTTTTCTAATTAATTAATCTTAGATTTATTTTTATTTCCGTACACTTTAAATCAATTTGACAGATACTATCATCACAGGCTTCATGAAAACAATCTTAATAGATTCATTAAATAAATCATCTTGTTTTCATTAAGAGATTTATTAAACATGGCCCAAGCCCGATATAATTAGTAAACAGTATCAACGATTTGTTTTTCTACAACAGTAGTTTAATGTGAGCCAATTAACTTATGTAGTTGTCATAAATATTCTTCCGGTCTAACTATATACGTTAATGCCGCTTGTTTTAAAATAAACAATCCAAAAACAACCGTTTAAAAGACGTTATGTGCGAATTTTAATTTATTTTTCCTGAAAATGTGAGATTTCCTGTGTTTTTTTTTAATTTATAATACCAGTGGGCCTGAATATATCGATATACATTATGGAAAAAAAAAAACAACTGAACAACCAATTTCTACATTTTGACGAACAGCAGAACCGTCGCTAATGTGCAAAACTACCTGAAAAGTTTGCCTGCGAAACAGACCCTCGTACCCAAAGAAAGAAATACTACCCCGTAAGGGCCCTGAACGTTAGGGTACCCAAATTAGGTTTGGGGCAGGTC